ACCAATTGAGCATCGTTGCAACGCCACAGCCTACCTGAGTATTGTTGCTGACCATGTCCATCCCTTTATGACCACAAAACCGTTACCGTTAGCGTGGTGTACCTAATAAAGTGGCCGGTGAGTGAATATCTAAGGTTATCATCCCAAACTGTGTCTAAGGGTTGCCTAAATTATATCTCTAAGGTTAGCATCCCAAACTGTATCTGAGGTTATCTCAAACTATATCTGAGGTTATCATCCCAAACTATATTTAAGATTTTATTGGTAGTTTTCTGTAATTCTTAAATAGAAGTACATACTTAATGTAAGCAAAGCACTAGACTGAATTAAACCACATGGGTGTTTGAGTCAACTACATTATGCTAGGTGTAGTTTGTCGGTAAACAAAATTGGTAGAATCAAACAATCATAGACTCAGGCAGAAGACATTTATGAGGAAATATTAGAGTGAATCTGCTGCTAAATGCAAAAGAAAAAAACAAGTAAGACAGCTTTTGAATGAACATTGGGGATCAAACAGGGCAGTGTAGTGTCATAAAGACAGAGGTTGGCATTCAAAATGTTTACCTTTGACCTATTTTCAGTCACTTCAGCTGTTTCCGAAGGTAAACAAACACCAATGATACCAATGGTAGTTAGCATTCATTCACAAATTTTGCCTCTAATTTTTTTTATTTAAGGACACTTTAGTTATTGATTTGACAAAAATACTGCATGAATTTTGTTTCTTACTTTATGATTTTTTGAAAGGTCTTTATGACTTTGCAAAGAGTATCTTTTTAATGTTATTTACTAATTACGTTTTGTAGATGTTTTTTAGTAGTGTTTTATTTTCAGTTGTTTCAGTGTTCAGATTTTCTTGGTTAGTTTGGTCTGAATCTAAGCAAAAACAGGCTGTTACTAAGTTAAAATATGCTCGTCATGCAGGAGTTCTTTCTGTTAATCATTCAGAGGCTGAGCGATGTCAACACAAAGAAGCTCTGATGGTACATCCAGCTGCACCGCGGACACTCAGAACGACTCATTACGTAACACCGTTTGACTTCTGCTTTGTCAACAAACGACACAGAGAGAAGCTGACCAACTCTGTGCCCGGATCCCACCAAACAGCTCCAAACAAGGCTCGAACGGGCCGCCGCTGAGCTGAGGCTTTATCCCTCCTAACCGAGAAGAGACCCCCAACCAACACCACCCCCACCCTGCTCTCTTCCATAAACAGCCTCTACGTTGGACAGCAGCCTGGGATTCTACACATTCCTGAGCCAAAGCTGTTGGAAGTTTATTTCAAACAACAGCAGCGTAAAAGGAAATGTATGTGACTTAAACACAGAGATGTCATTAAGATGTCTGAGACAGAAAACAGCTCMGTGTTGGATCTGAGCTGAACATCAGCTGCTTAACAGTTTCTATGGATTTACATTATTTAATCTTTGGAAGGTTTTCTTGACAACATCACCTCGTTTACTTGTGTTTTTTACATTTTACTGTTATTTTAGTGTTGTCAAAAAACATGGTATTTCACAGAATACTGTATTATTTAATATTTCAAATGTACAGAATAGAATTTGATCCAAAAACATGTATTTTAAAAATGACTTTAACCAAAATTTTTTTTACATTTTTCTCAAAATTGGGGGAAAAAAAGTCTGAATTACGGAAATGGATTAAAGGCACGGGGTAAACAAAAAAGTTTTTTTTCCTGAATACTGACCTTAACGTTAGAATTATGATATTTAAAATCAGAATTCTGAAAATTGAAATCAGAGTTCTGAGGTTAAAATCAAAATTCTGAGCATAAAGGAGGCGTTCTGAGAAAATGTTAGTATTCTGAGGGGATAAAAAGAGAATTTTGAAAATTTAAGTCAGAATTCTGAAATTAAAGTCAGTATTAGGGAATAAATACCTTTTATTTTTGGTCTGTGGCCGTTATCTTCGGCTATACAAATGCTCTCTTAAACTCCCAGTCACTTTATAACTTTTTAGCGTTCCTTTGGGGGAAAATCGACCCATTGAACCATGATAAACCCATTTATAATGGCTTTATAAGTTCCTGTTTTGCATCCCTGCAATCCCTCAGACACAAAGCTCTTGGCTAAAGCAAGTGTCYGACCTGAGGAGGACTGGACGTTTGCGCCCCCCTGGATGAAATTGTTATTAACACCGGTGTGAGAAGAACAGCCTGCTGATAACACATCTGCTAGGCTTTTAGAGCCAGAGTCTGAAGAATGCCAGGGAGCTGATGSTTTATATGAGGTGATGAAGCTTCACAACAAGAGCTCCAGGCTGAACTCCAAGACTCAAGAGCTTTAAAAAAAAGGATAAACTATTTTAGAAACATTGTGGTGTCTTAGAGAGTTCACCTCGCTGATTGCTGAGTAAAACATTTAAAGTAAGTAGAGCTAAAASTAAAGGAGTTAAAAATATATATTACACTTTCTTTTATTTTAGGAATGTGATGATTCTTCATATCTGTATCATACGCTCAGCTGGTTTGGAAACAGGTCATTAGTTGAGCAACAAGTCAAACTGTTGCAGGAGATGCTGCTGAAAGCATTTTTTTGTCTCAGCTGTTCGTTCTGACTCCAGCCAGGATCGCAGGACCTGCGTGTGTTCCCTAAAATAACTCTGAGCGCCCGTCAGAGCCGCTCAGTAATTGAGTCTGAGCACATGGAAGCTAAATGTGAATCTAAACAGTGATGCGATAATCCGGTAATTTTAAGTGCTCGGAAGGTTTCATTGTGTGGAACGAGCGAGCCTCGGGACTCCAGAGAGTCTCCAGCTGTCTGCTGCACTTCTTCAAACAGAAGCAGAAGCAGCTCAAAAATAAACCAGAGAGGGCGCTAAAAGAACCGGAGACAGCTCTAAAAGAACCGGAAACAGCTCTAAAAGAAACGGAAACAGCTCTAAAAGAACCGGAAACAGCTCTAAAAGAATCAGAGACAGCTCTAAAAGAACTGGAGACTGCTTTAAAGGAAACTGGGAAGTTCTAAACAAACTGGAGGGCACTCCAAAAGAACTGGAAGCGGCTCTCAAAGAACCGGAAGTGGCTCTAAAAGAACCGGAAGTGGCTCTAAAAGAACCGGAAGTGGCTCTAAAAGAACTGGAAGCGGCTCTAAAAGAACCGGAAGTGGCTCTAAAAGAACCGGAGACAGCTCTAAAAGAACCGGAAGTGGCTCTAAAAGAACCGGAGACAGCTCTAAAAGAACCGGAGACAGCTCTAAAAGAACCGGAGACAGCTCTAAAAGAACCAGAGACAGCTCTAAAAGAACCAGAGACAGCTCTAAAAGAACCAGAGGTAGTTCTGAACAAACTGGAGCCTGCTTTAAAGGCAGTGTAAAAAGAACCAGAAGCAGTTCTTAATGAAGAAGAAATGAAGGCTCMTCTAAAAGAACTGGAAACAGCTTACAAAGAAGCAGCTGAAACAAAACCAGACACAGCTCAAAAACACCTTGTTGAAATACCATGTAGCAGCATCACTATACTGGCGTTTTTCTAGATTCATATGCAGACATGATGAGAAAACAGCGACAAACTGAATGAATGGTATTATGCAAAAATGTAGATGTTTAATTTTTTTAACAGTGTTTTACACTTTGTTCTGCTAGTTTTGAAGAAGAGTTATACTTTTAAATCAAGATAAAATGAGTTTTTGTTTGGTTAGCTTAACCTGGACCCAGTCGTTTGTCTCTTTCTCAGTCCTCCATGCTACACGCTTCAACAACTAGCTGATCACACATCTTAGCTCAAAGCTTTGGTGTGCAAGGCAGTGATATTGATTCATCACGGACTATTAAGTCCTTCTGTTGTCAATTTATTTTTTAATGTTTTATTGTGAATCTAATCCTGCATGAATACGTTTGTGCTGTGAAGTTAAATCTTCCTGCTGTRGTGTTGTTCTTGAGTTGAGGATTTTTAACGTGGCTCTGCTGAGATGTTGAGTAGGTGCCACATTCCCAGGTGGCATGTGGTGACAGGTCCATCTGGACCCGCCTGCTGTCACAAACAAACAGGCCCCCTAAATAGTGAGGGGTCAAGGTCGGTCGAGCCGTCTGGACCAGACCAGACCCTCAGAACCTTCCCAGTCCGTCAGAGGGAGCGGGTGYGAATCGAGCAGGTAATGTTTGTGTTCGGAGCTGATCTGTAGGTTTTTATCTGCATGTGGTCCAAACCTAACGATGTGGACGGGTCCGAGCTAACAGAAGCTGGAACTGAGCAAAGCTCGACCTCAGACTGAAGAACGGCGTCTCCGGCGGCTTCCTGAGTTAAAAGTTTAACAGCTTTATGAGTTTTTGTCAGATCCAGTCTCCTCCTGTTTGTCTCGTCCCGRTGTGTTTTAGAAAAGCTTTGATGGRTGCYGTTCTCTGACCCGTTCTGCTCAGAACCTTCCTAAAAAGGCCCGTGTGATCCAGCAAACACAACACGGCTTCTCAATATCATGTTCTGATCTGAGGTTTGGGAGGAACTMAAAGCCGATCCGGTTCTTCTGCTGCTGTAAAACCGGGTCTTTCCAGGTTCACGCGAGGACACAGCCGAGGAACGCCGACTGATGGATGCATCKCTGTCTCTGCGCTGCTGGGAGGCGGGAAGTCTGTTCTGTTTGTGAGAGCGAGGAAGAATAAATACTCATCTTCAGATGCTCAGGGACAACTCAGACTGAAGGCTGAAGGKTTTTTTTTTCTGTCCCCCGGAGGTTTGTTTGGAATCACTCCCATTTTCCCCTCRTCCTGTTAGCAGAGTGTTCCAGCTGGACCATCAGTCCTGGGCCCGGTTCTGTAGCTCACTGTGTTTATGGCTCCTGTAAACGGACTCGGTTCCACACAAACAAACTGCTTTTCAGCTAAAATATAGTGTGAACTCTGCTGAAACTGACTTCTTGTAGCTAAAAGAAGCAGAACATTAGCTAACTGCTAAACGTAGAAAAGGTTAGCTAAGAACTAATGGCTAAATAAAAGCTAAAAGTAGCAAAGAATCAACTTAAAATTAAAATAACAGAATGGTAACTAAGTAGCACACTGTTGGCGAAAAACTAAACAAAGCTAAATGCTAAATAATAAGATTAGCAGAACACTATCTAACTGCTAAAATTAGCAGAACCAATGGGTAAATAAAAGCTAAAAGTAGCCGAGTCAACTTAAAAGTAAAATGCTAAAATACAGTGTGAACATGCTGAAACTGAGTTCTTGCAGCTAAAAGAATTAGAACACTAATTGCTAAAAGTAGAAAAGGTTAGCTAAGAATTAATTGCTAAATAAAAGTTCACAGTAGAAAATAATCCACTTAAAATGAAAAGTAACAGGATGATAACGAAGTAGCAGTGTTGGCTAAAAACTAAAAGAAGCTAAATGCTAACTAATAACATTAGCAGAACATTAGCTAACTGCTAAAATTCTAGCAAAAAACTAATAGAAGGTAAAACTAACAAAGATGTGAAGGTATCTAAAAGTTGCAGATTGTAACTAAAAATAGCTAAAGGATATCTAGAGTGTAAAAGTAGTGAAAACATCAACTGAATGGTGTATATAAGCTAAAGGTAACAWAACAGGAGCAGAACAGTAGCTAAAAGCTAAATAAAAAGCAGAATAGTAGCTAAAATAGAAATTTGCAAAGGGTTAGAAAAAACTAAGACATTTTAGTCTAGCAAAAAAACAAGATTAGCAGAATTTCAGCTAATTGCTAGAAGTAGCTAATTTTGGCTAAAAACCAATGGTTAAATAGAAGCTAAAAGTAACAACAAGGTCATCTAAGAATAAGATTGGTAGCGGAAAGTACCAGAAGAGTTTTAAAACTATTAGTGATAATAGTTTAAAACTAAAAGTAGCAATGGGCTACCAAGAAGCTTGTGGTAGCTGAACAGTAGCTAAAAGTATCAGAACAGTAGCTAAAAGTATCAGAACAGTAGCTAAAAGTATCAGAACAGTAGCTAAAAGTATCAGAACAGTAGCTAAAAGTATCAGAACAGTTGTAATAAATGACAAACAGCAAAGCTAGGTGTAGTATAGCAAGTGAAAAACTGAACCAGTTGCAGATTTCAAATAAAACAAGTTTGTGAAAATATTTGTGTTTAATTTTATATAAAGATGAAATATTCAGAAAATGTAAAAAATAGAAACAACAAAACTCATAAAACCCATTTTCTGAATGAGCTGAACATTTTAACTTACAAACAGCTAAAAGTAGTTTTTATTGCAGAAAATGTAAGAAAACTTAAAACAAGAAAACAAAGTGATTCAGAACCAGAACCAATAGACAAACTGAACGTTTAAGGATAATTTAATTCTAATTTAAAAATAAACCTTGAACAGTTTGTGGTTTGTTGAACTCTGCAGTCCAGTCTTTGTAAGAAAATCCTTTAAAGTATTTGTGTGAGCTCAGGGTCTGAGTGTGTGGTCCGGTTCTTAGTGCTGTAAAACAACAACTCTCTTAAATCAGCTTTACGGGCCGAGCAGAACCAGAGGCCCGGAGCAGAACTGGGATTGTTTCACAGCGTCTCTCCGGTGGCCTTGGTGTCGATCCATTAATGCAGCTCAGATTAGCATACGCTTGTTCTGCCCAGAACCTGTATTTTCTCCAGTTCTTAAAGGGGAACACATGGAGGACACGAGTCAGAAATCTGTCAGGTTCTGGTTCTGGATGTGCTTTAGTAAAAAAAACAAAAATAAAAACAGTAACGTCCAAAACTTTAATTACAAAGTTTTAAACAAAAGTCTGTCTTTGCTCAGAATCAGATGTTTACATGAAAATAAGGACAAAAACATCAGTATGAGGGTCACGTTCACCCAAGTCTCAGTCCAAATCTTATGATCCGGACCGGACTCCTGAGTTCAGGTGTTTTCTGTGGTTCTGCAGGGCTCTCCAGCAGAGGGCAGCACAAGACCAAGTTCCAGTGAGTCCAACTTCAAGTCTCTTTCAGATTAGATAAAAAACGTTTTTGTTTTTAGCTTAAAAAAAGTTTCTTGTACTTGACATCTGTCAGTTTTTCTGTTTGTAGTTCGGGGTAAACCAGGACCTCGAGCCGTCAGCGCTGTCAGGATCACACCGTTAAAAACCATGAAAGGCTGTCCGGACATGATTCCCTCCGCAGGTCAGCGTTCCTCTTTTTATTCTTTAAATTATAAAAATTCTGTGAAAATCAAAGTAAAGTTTGTCTCTTTTCAGATTTGGACCCGAGCAGAGTTTGTAAAGGGAAAGGAGTCGTGACTCTGAGGGCGACGCTCGTCCACGTCGAGGACGAAGACTTAACTGATGAAGAACCGAACCTCATCCCACCGACAGGTGAGTCACATCTGTCTGTCATAGAGGTAGATAACCCTGGACTGAGCCCCGCCCTGGTCCGAGCCCCGCCCTGGACCGAGCCCCGCCCTGGTCCGAGCCCCGCCCTGTTCCGAGCCCCACCCTGGTCCGAGCCTGCCCTGGTCCGAGCCCCACCCTGGACCGAGTCCCGCCCCGCCCCAGACTGAGTCCCACCTATCTCTTCCACCGTTACGCTGCGTTCAAACTGAACGCAATTTCAGCATCAAATCGTGTCCAACTCTTCAAGTTGGATGCTTGTGCACTTTGAGCTCAGACAYGAGTCAAAATTGCTCTTAAAGTGCTTGACATACGTCTGGCACATCGAGACCCTCATTAGTTCTTACAGTCATTAATAATAATAATAATAATAATAATAATAATAATAATAAATATTTACCAGTCAACACTTAGAAAATGTTCTCTTTATACCTGGTTATAGGATGAAACTAATATTAGCTAACATTTTCTCAGCAGGTAAAGTTCCTCTAACAGAAACTTAAAAATACTTTTATAATATTATTTTACACTGTGTAGGCCTAAGTATTAATCAGAACCATTTATATTATTATTTAATTAATTTATTTTATTTGATGAACCGTGTGAACTGGTTTCTCTGGATGTGGAGCAGCAGCTCTACTCTGAGTCAGTCCTGGAGACCTGAACCTCTGACCCAGAACTACCTGCTGAGATGATATTTAGTCAGAACAGTATGTGGAGGAAAGATGTAACTGATGCAGGGATTTACCTGGTGTTTTGTGTCTTTAAGTTGTAAAAACACAGCGAGGAGACAGAACCTCTGTATTTACAGTGAGTGTTCMGAGGAAAGTGTTGCTCATGTTTTCCTGCGGGAATCAAAGACCCTTGTCTCTGCAGCCGGCCCACGCTGCTCTCTGGACCCGGCCGCCCGGACTGAGGGCTCGTTTCTGTGGAAGCGGACTGGCAGCCGGCCAGGGTTCAGCAGAGATGCTTTAATTGTTGCGGAGCCGGAATCAAAAGGCCAGTGGAACAAAAGAGTGAAAAGGCTTTTTGTTTGGGTGACAAAGATCACAGATTGTGGGAGAAGATCTTGTTTTTTTCAGCTGTTTTTGATGGATTTATTAGCAGCTGTGTGCAGAAAGCAGCCGAAGGACGGACCGATCAGCTGATTGAAGCAGGTTTAGTTTGATTTGTTTTGATTGGTTGTTTCAGTCAGCTGGACGGCTCAGGTTAACGGAGACTCTGAGGGACTGACTGATGGAGGCAGCAGCTCCGAACATCTAGATCATGAAAACAACGTTCAGCTCCAGCCTCAGGTGGGTTCATGTCAGTTCTGCTGAGTCATGGTTCACATGGCTTTCCTCTTTCTTCTCTACGGTTTTACTGTTTTTATATTTTTAACTTTGTTCATAAAATTTAATCTCAAATTAATTAAGATTTTGCTTCTAAATCTGCTTCTTTACTGACTTTATTTTTGTCTTCTGCTGCTTTTAGCTTTCAGCTACTGTTCATGCTAACTCTAAATTTTATTTTTGATTTTGCTACATTTTTTGTTAGCGTCTGTTTGCATGTTAGATTTTTAGCTGTCAGTTTGCTAATTATAGCTTTTAGGTACAATTTTGCTGCGATATTAAACTTTAAGCTACTTCCATGTTTTATTTTTTAGCTACTTCTGTTATTTACGTTTTTAAAAGGAGTTTTACTCTTTATATTTTAGTCACAATTTGTCTAATTTTAGCTACTATAAATATATATTTTTAATTTACACTATTGGTTGCTGTTTTTTTCATCTTAGCTTTTGGTTATCATTTTGCTAATTTTATATTTCAGCTGCACACATTTATTGTAGCTTTGAGCTACTGTTAGGCTAATTTAGCTATTAGCAAATAAGTTGCTCATTATATATTTTATCAAAGGTTTTGCTAATTTTAGCTTCTTAGATATGGTTTTGCTAATACAAGGTTTCAGCTACAGTTTTGCGGATTTTAGCTTTGAGCTACTGTTGTGCTAATTTTAGCTATTAGCAACTAATTTGCTAATTTTATATTTTAGCTACTGTGTTGCTTATTTGAGCTTTTAGTTGTAATTTTTCAGATTCAAGTTTTTAGTTAGTTTTGCTGATTTTAGCTTTTAGCTGTAGTTCATTCATTTTAGCTTCAAGCTACTGTTGTACTAACTTCAGCTCTTCTCCATTAATTTGCAAATTTTGTGTTTTTGGCAAAAGTTTTGCTAATTTTAGATTTTAGTTATAATTCAGCAAATTCACGTTTTCGTCTACAAAKTTGCTAATTTTAGCTTTTAGCTACAGTTTTATTTATTTTAGCTTTGATAATACTGTTGTGCTAACTTTAGCTTTTAGCTATTAAATAGCAAATTATAATTTTAGCTACTGTTGGGTTAATTTGAGCTTTTATGCATGATTTTGGTAATTCAAAGTTTCAGCTACAGTTTTGTTGAGTTTTTAGCTACTTTCTCGATGACTTTAGCTTCTGTTCTGTTAATTTTAGCTTCATCATATTTTTTCTGAGTCATCCCGTTCTCAGGATTCAGTTATAATTTAAACTTTAGGATGAATTTAATTAAAAAGTTATTTTTTTCGAACATGTTCTTTATTTATGCTGTTTTCAGGATATTTTTTCTCGCAGTAAAAAAGAAGCCGAAGCTCCGTCCTTTGTTGAGACTCACATCTGTGTTAAATCCGGTCCTGGTTCTGGTTCTGGTTCTGGTTACCCGTGCACCAGTTCTGTGAACCCGACCATCGTTCTGCTGCAGCACAACAGAGGTGAGGACCGGTTCTGTCGGGCTGTTTTCACGGTTCTGCTTCGGCCCGTTTCACTTCCTGTTTGTTTGTTTTTCTCACAACAGAACAGCAAAACAGTCTCTCTTACTCTGAAGGTAAGACGTTGGATTTTCACAATAAAACCACTTCTTTATCTGATTATTTGGTTTTATATTACAAGCTTAAAGGTACAATRCAACAATTTTATTTTGAAGGTTATGAACAGTCAGTATCTTACCTGTTGTAGAAGCTAAAGTGGAGTTTAATTCTGACGGGACAGAAATAAKAAGTTAAAAGTTAAATTCWTGCTGGGAAAAGTGTTTCCTGTTTTCATGTCGTCCGTTTGTCTGGTTCTGTAAACTTCCTGAAAATAATTTGTTTTGTTCCGTCCAGACTCGGTCCAGGACAGAGACAGAAGCACCGACTCGGGTCGGTCCCTCACCWGTCCGGTTTCTGAAATGGACGGGAAGAGACAAAGGCTGCACTCCCCCGTCCTCGGTCCTCTCAACAAACCCATTGTCCCGGTCCGGGTGAGCGACCAGATTAACTGTCCCGATGAGGACAAAAAGGACGGTTTGTTTACAGGAAGGAGCTGCAGCTCACTGGATAAACGTTTCGTTTGTCTGCTTTGATTGGCAGCAGCAGCTTTCTAACAGGAGCTGCTGCTCTCATCAGGAACATTAACCGTATTTTTGGTACCAGAACCCATTGTTTAACACTGGACAGTCTTCCTGATGCAGCCTGGGTTTGAACCCGCAACCTCAGGGTGACAGAACCACAGCTCTGATGCTGCAGTCAGGGTAGAGCAGATCAGTTTTACATTTACTGACACGGACTGCCTCTCCTCAACGCCGCACCGCTGAAACCTGACTTCCTGTTCCAGACAGGAAGCTGAAACCTGACTTCCTGTTCCAGACAGGAAGCTGAAACCTGACTTCCTGTTCCAGACAGGAAGCTGAAACCTTTTTATTCTTTTT